ATTTAATTTAAAAAATAAATTTGTTAAGAAGAATATTTTTTTTAGTCTTTTGTTTTAAAAGAAATAAAATAAAAATATACTAAATATCTAAAATAATTTTTGGATTTTTGATTAATAAAATAATAATAATAAAAATAATAAAGAAAAAAGAAAAATAAATAAAAATATAAAATAAAGCCAGGGGGGTTGAAAATGATTTAAGGTGTAAATAAGCAAGACAAATTTTTGTTGGAGTTAGGTCCAAGAATGATTTTTTGTGTGAATCAGAAATAATAATAAAAAGTGAATGGGCGCCTGCGTATGGATAAGGAATCAGGGGGTGAAACAAACAAACAAATGGAAAGGCCCAAACCAAGGAGGCCCAGACGCCTGTTTGGGAATTCAGTGAGGGAGGCTTTTGGAGGTACATCATGAGGATGGCCTTATGATGCAATGGTATTGCCTTGATGATGATCAGATGGTTGAGGATGAAGGGTGCATCTTGCGCGCTAGGAGGTTGTTTGCACTGAATCTAAAATGAGAAAATATGAAGAAAAAAAACAAAAGGGTACCACTGGGGTTCGAATCCAGGTCCCAAAGGTTAACAGGCGCGCGCTTTACCACTGGGGTGGCTATACATCGGTTTATTAATACAAAACCATAAATATATATTTGAAAACAAGTCAGGAGGCCAACTTCATCTTCTTTCTCGCACCAACAATTTTGAAAACTGTAACTTCATCAATCCTCAACCAAAATGAAAAATGCAAACATGAAAGTTGCTCCATTTTTCCACACGAATTCAATCATATAAATATCATAAACTATAAATCAAAGATGAATGAGAATTTCTAATGGTACCAAATTTGACCTAACTTTTTCAAAAAGTTCAACTATAAAATTCTCTCTACTCATGCAACATAAATGAATTTTAAGGACATGGTTAGCTTCAAGACTATGATGTCTACATTTTATCTTCACAAATGAAAATCAAATGATGCATATATGAAGAGTTCAAAAGTCAGAAAACTCACCTTGAAAATGGAATTCGTATTTTGAGTTTGAGCAGCTTTCAAGGTGCTGTAATGATCTGGTTAGCTTCCTTGAACCTCTAGGAAGCTAATGCAATGCTTAGCTTGACCTGAGAGTGCCTGGAATGTTCTGGAGAAGTCAAGTTACAGACCTCTGTTTTTGGTTATGGAAGATTAGGAAGATGGTATTACAATTATGTTGTAGGTATTGGGATAGCCTCTATATGTGTATTAGAAGCTTTGTGATGGATTAGAGCTAAAAACGCACGAGTAGATTTTGTATTTGAGGTTTTCTGGCCAAAAGTGACAACAATGGAGGTTTGTATACAATTCTGACTTTTTAGGGAGTTTGAGTGAGTTATAGGGCTTGTAAACTCGTGTGTTATGTTGCAAATGATGTTTCTATTTATAGAGAAGAGGTTTGGAAGCTTGGAGAAGTCAGAAGTACAAAATCACATGTTTGTGGATTTTGACTTGTTTTTAAAGCAACATGGACAAATATGGTTTCAAGGCAAGGTAGGGTGGTTGAGCATTTTAGACATACTTCTTCTGAACTTATAGAGGATGCTTGTGCAGAAAGAACAAGTTAGGAGCTCAAGACAAAGTTGACTTTGCATAAAGCTTGCTTTACAAGAATGGGATGGTGACTTTCTTCTAAATATGGAAATTTGCTTTGGATATTGGCTTAACCACTTGGACCATACCTCAATCAATTGTGTAAACAATTAATTATGGAGTGATTTACAAGTTAGAAGCCTGCAAAAACAAGATTGTGCAGCATATGCTTGAGATTTGAATTCTTGTTCATCACAAAAATGACCTATAATTCAAGAATGAATGTCCAACTTCTTGCCTTCGATTCTCTTAGCTCAAAAATAATCTCATTGAGTTCTTGTACATTTTGAAAAGATTGGAACATTACATACAACTTTCATGTTGGTCATTTTGACAAAATCCCCTTGGAGCTTAGTGAAAATTGACCAAGAAGTTAGGTAAAAAATCGGCCTAAACTAGGTCAAAATTTCACTAAGTGTTTAAGAAAAAATGCATGACTTTATGGATTCATAATTCAAAATCCAAGCATTTCTAGAACTTGATCAGTAAAGCAAAGTTGTAGATCTCATCAAGATCTAAAACTTTCATGTTGGAAGTTTTCTTTGAATCATCTTGCATCTTGGTGGAAAGTTAGCATGAAGTCATGAAAAAAAGAAGACTTAAAACACTTAGAAAATTTTCTGTCTTGAAAACTTTGACTTTTCAAAATTACTTTTGACTTTCTTGATTTCTTGATGATCAAGTTTCATATATTTGAATGTCTTGATGAAATGTTATCTTTGAAACTCAATTTTGATCAAAATGTCAAAGTTTGACTTTTGGTATATCAGTTGACTTTTCATCAGTTGACTAGATTTCAATTATCAATCAATTGATCTTGAGAAATGAATTGAGTCATGCAATTAGGTAAAAATGATGTAATTGAATCCCTGAGATCATGTTTCAAACCATTAATTCATGCATTAGGTCAAAAGTGAAAGATTAGTCATTCTCAGTCAAAACCCTAATTTTGACCATTTTGCCATTTTGATGATTTGAACAATTTTCTTGTGGAATTGTGATCCAAACTTGATCAATTGATACATATGACTTCAAAATGTTGATATTGGTTAAAAAATTTAAAGTTTTACTGTAGGTTGACCATACTTGACTTTTTATCCAATACAATTGATTTTGGGTCATTTGATTAATTAACTGAGCAATTTTGAGATGCAAGACTTGAAACCTGACATGGGCATTCTTGAAGGTCCATAATGATCTATGAGAGTCAATTGAAGCATTAGAGGTCCAATTGTCCTTGTGAAAATCCAAACCCCAATTTGAGACATTAGTGTTGAGGAGATGACTTGACCTAGTCAATACTTGTGTAAGCTTGAACCATTGAAGATCTTTGTGAGAAATGTCTTGAGAAAAGAGAGGGAAATTTTAGGGTACAACAAGTGGGAACATAATTAGAGCTCTTTAGAGTGAGACATGGGCCAATATAAGTGTGGGTCCTTCAATAGATGAATGTGAGGATCGATTAATTACTATTACTGCTTCAGAGAGTCCCGAGTCAAAATATTCCCCAACATAAAAGGTCGTGGTGCTTGTTTTTTCCAGGTATGTTGAGGCTGGTATTGAGAAAGGGAGAAATCCTGGATTAACTACAGGTTCACCTGTGACTACACAACTTGTAGTCCTATCAAACCAAGTCGGTTGTTTGTTAGGAAAAGGTGGAGTAGTAGTGCCAGAAATGAGGAGGGAAACATGGGATAGCATACGAATAATTGGAACTGATCAGCTTTCTAAATGCGTGTCAAATAATGATCAAGTTGTATAGATATCATGTGAGTTTTAAAACGTATAAGATGCATTATTTAATGCAACTGGTAAACTGCGAGATAATCTTTTTGGTGGCACACAGAATAGTGTTGGAACAAGGAGCCTTTCCTCTTTACAAACTGATATTAGTTCCTATGTAAGACTTATAGATGGCCAATCCTCTTTACAAGCTGATACGAGTCTCTATAGAAGACTCAGAGATGTTCCTCTCGGAGGCCAATCCTCTTTACAAGCTGATATTAGTCCCTATGTAAAACAGAGAGATGGCCAATCCTCTTTACAAGCTGATACCAGTCCCTATGCAAGACTGAGAGATGTTCTTTTTGGAGGTCAGTCTTGTTTACAAGCTGATACCAGTCCTTATGGACGATTGAGAGACATTCCTCTTGGGGGCCAATGGGAGAATGAGAGATGTTTCTCTTAGAGGCCAATCAGTTGCAGACGTTTCTCATAGTCGGAGTAAGCACACTTTTTCTCAAGGCATTGATCATTTTGCTCTTAGTAGAACTTATGATCGTCCATCTTCCCCAAACTTATGGACAATTGGAGCGTGAAAATAAATAGCGGGTGGCTCACTGGATCTTAAACGAGACTCTGATACCATGTTAAGAAAGTGCGGTTGAGTTTAACTCAATCCTACAAAACTGTCTTGTAGGGTAAAGTTTGCCCCACTTATAAACACATATTCAGATTATATAATGTCTTATGTGAGATTCTTAAAAGTAGCTACTTTTATCTTGTAAGTTTTACATTGAATGAAGGATTGTAAACATTATTGATTCAAAATACATAAAGAATCATTAAATTGCAACCAAAAGAGCATTGTAATTATTAAACTAACCTTAAATATGCATAGGTTTAAATTTTTAATTTTCGAAGGCACTGCATGTATGGTGTATATCTGCAAAAATTTGTTAGAGACAATATCGACAAATTTTTTAGATTCCAAAAGTCTCACGGCCAACGATGATAGAGAAACTGATATGGATTTTTGGTCTTTTGTTGTTTTCTGAAAAATAAATTAAAAATAAAACAATGAAAAATCAATTTATTCACCTTTTTATTAGAAGCAAAATTGATACAAAACAAAATAAAAGAAATAAAAAAAAGAAAGAGCGTCTTTATCGACAAACTTGATAGATCCCGAAAGTCTCAAAATGAACAATGATAGAGAAATTAAAATGGATATTTGATCTTGTGGTTTGAATTGTATTTCATGAGAAGAAATTGTCATGTAAAGAGGTGTATAAGAAAATAGAGAGAAATAAAGAGTTAATGGAAGAAAAAAATGAAACTGGAGAAGAGAAGAAAAAATAAAAAGAAGAGAAGGAGGGGGAAAATCAAGAAAAGAAGAGAGACTGAGAAGAAAATGAGAATTTAAGTTATGGAAAAATGTTTGTTTGAGAAGAAAATGAGAATTTAGGTTATGGAAAAATGTTTATTTGTAAAAAATTGATTTTGATTAATAGAGAGAAAATTTTGAAAATGAAAATAGTAGAGAGTGAGGTGGCAGCTTCTAGTACCAGTAGGGGTAAATAAGTAAAGGGCAACATTCTCTTCAAAGTTCATAAACCCTTAAACCCTATATTTTCCCCTTTTAGGCAGAAGAAAATGTTGAAGTTTATTGGGTCAAGATGGAAGCATTTCAAGTTCAACAACCTTCGTCTCTTGCATTCTTCTTCTTCTTCCACTCAAACTGATTCCCTTTTCTTCGAATTTCCAAAGCTGGTGACACAATCATTCCCATTCCTTGTATCCTCAACCAATGGATTCAAGAGGGCAAAGACGTCAACCATTCCGAGCTACAGTTTTTCATCAAGCAACTCAGAACCCATCGTCGCTTGATGGTGGTGATGTTGTTTTTAGGGGAATCTTTCGATTCATTATAGTATGGATGTATTGGAAGCTGCTGAATTGTCTTATGATTATGACGAGGGTCCTAAACTGGTAAACTACTCTTTTATACGTTGTTGACATTGGGATGATATGCGAAACAATTTTGATTTTGATTTTCTGATTAATTAATCATCCATCAACAAATGAATATAATGTGACATAGGATTATTCTGAAGAATTCCACGAAAATAGTAGAATAACATGAGCATATGATCTTTCACATCTTTCTCTATATTAATGTATTTTGGTCAGGGAGAGTATATATTAATGTATTTTGGTCAGGGGGAGCATATAAATTGAAAGATAGTGTTACACTGTAATGTTGGTTGCCATATATATGAAACATATTCTACTTTTGAGGATTGAAATAAAGTTCTTTTTAATTATTTTGTGATGCTTACAGTTTTCTTCAACATCCTGTTAAAGCTTGTACTGCTTGAGATTCACGCGCAACTGGTACATTTCTGCTATGAAATATTTAATTTTTGTTTAACTTTGCTTCCATTAATGATGAGGGTTGGGTGGTTACAGGAGATCTTGGATATTTTGATGAATGATGAAGCTGAAACGTTATGACACTTTTTTCAGGTATGGCTTGCTTTTTTTCGTGTCAAAGATGTGTTAATTTTGTTTGAATTGCATGTATCTTTGATGTTCGATTATTATACGAGTGAATCTGTAGTTGTGCAAAATATTGTGATGAATTTCTTTGATACTTGCATAAGTTTTGTATAAATAGTTTCTATATAACTTATCACGAGGAGAAATGATTCATTGAGCACTTCAACCAAAATTAAAGGGCATTTCCGTTGTATGCTAATAATTGATTGAGCATTTAAACCAGAATTAACTGGCAGAGATGACTTTGGCGAACGTAGGAGGGGTGACAGAAGTAGTTTTAAATCTGGCAACAGCTGGTCCAAACCCGAAAGGTACATCCCGAATGATTGGCTAATTGGAGGCCGACAATCAAGCACGTCTCCATCATCACCCACCGAACAGGGCATAAAAAATAATAATAACTACTCTTTTTATTATTGTCTGTTAATTCTCTACCTATTCAAGCTACATAATGAGCCTTATCTGCTTGATATCAAGTTCATGAGCATATTATCTATATTTCTTGTGGGGGTTCTTTTTCGGTAGCTGTCACAGGTAAGGTGATTATTCTCACCTGGCATATCTTACTATCTACAAAGTTTCTCAAGTTAATTGAGTGCATGTTTTAAGATAGCATTTTGGTCGCTTCCAGGAATTTTGGTTCTGAACAGATAAAAGAAAGTTATACACATTTTGGATATGCCGCAGTTAATTGAGTGCATGTTTTATTGTAAATTTTGGTTCTATCTCATTACTATTTTTTTATTAATCTATTCATCACTTTATGTAAGACCCGGTGATGGAAGTTTCTTTAGGTTTATTGACTTTGTTCTGGTTTTCATAAGCTGAATCATGAAATCCAAGTGCTACTCTACCAGAAGAATCAAGGTTGTTCGATCAAGCAGCATCCCACTCGACAGATTTTCATGTGCTACATGCACCCGTTGCATTCACCGTAACAGATGCCTTTAACATTTGATGTACTGAGCTTAAAATATGAAATATCCAATCATCGCGTTGATTTACTGATTCTGGTGTAGTCATGTTATTTAAAAGAATTTGATCTCAATATAACAAGATAGTTCTAGATATTTTGCATGTTGCATTGATTACTACTCAGTAGCCAGATAATTATAAGTGAACCATTCTTTCTAAAGCTCGTGGTTTTCTGTGCAGTTGAGCCATTAAGCAAATGAGTGAACTCGCAAATTATAAATTTGAGTAAAGATGCAGTACTACAAAGCCCTCTGCTAGAATCAAAAGGTAAGGCAAATAACTCGCATCACTTGAAAATCTCAGTTGCAGGTGGAGATGGCAATGCTAGTTGGCTTCTTGGAGTAGTATCAGATCTTAAATCACCTCATCCACCACTGGTTTAGACATTACCGCTTGAGACTGGAAATGATCTACCTTTTGCATTTGGATAGGTACATTAACTGTCTATTTCACTAAATATGAGCTATGAAAATTTAAATATTTCATAACCACTTGGATCAATTTTCATTCTTATTGTTTTTCATAAGCATGCATTTCTTCATTCACAGAGAAAGAATGAAATATGACAGTAGTACAAGAGTCTTCATAGCACCATGATTTTGTTTTTGCATGAGAGTATGTTCAGGCTTGAAATCCAGGTAGTCTTTATTTGGTTATTTTAAAATATTATTTTTGCAATAATCCATTTTCATCAAGGAATTTTCCCTACTGCCCTAGCTGATCCAAATGAAGTTCACCTAAAAAAATGTCTGATGAGTTTATCCTCTTCTATTTATTATTTATTTTGAAGATTAGAACAAAAGAAATGGATTTCATAGCTGAGAGAGGGTATTGCAGCTCATTATAGTGGGAGAGAATTTGTTACTAGATTGGTTGAAAGTGCAGTGCCCAGCAATAAAAGCTCAAGGGGAAAGACAATGTGTCTTACCAATGCCAACATTGCACTCAGAGTATTCTATCTATCCCGAATTGATTATGATAGAAATCACATTTTAAAAAGAGAGCTTAGTATAGCTATTACTCAATTTTACTGCTATTATGTTGTTGGTCTTGGCTTTGCACCAAAAATTACGACCTTGATGCTTATTTCATGAGACTTTTCCACAGATTGGCTGGCTCAATGCTATTAGTGTTGGAATAGTGCCGTTATTTAGTTTTGATTTAGTCAAGTTAAAATTATTAGTTTATGAATAAACCTATTCTTTAGGAATAAGATTCCTTGTTGATTTATTCCACCTTAAAAATAGCCATGATATAGTTATGTAAATCATGGTCCTTATTTTTCTGTTTCAGTTTCTGTATTGGCTATAAAGCTATTCATTTACATTCAATAAAATCAAGCTTAAGAGCTACAATCTTGTTTTAACAGTGGTATCAGAGCTCACACAAGGGCCTGATCTTTAGAAAAATAGAGAGAGAAGTTGAGTGAAACACAGAAAGAGAGGAAACAACAACAAGCCATGTCTGACGGCAATAACCTTCTCAGTATTCCGAAGTTCGATGGAGATTATGATCACTGGTCCATGCTAATGGAAAACTTGTTGAGATTAAAGGAATACTGGAGCTTGGTGGAGCAAGGCTATGAAGAGCCTAAACCGTGGTATCAGAGCTCACACAAGGGCCTGATCTTTAGAAAAATAGAGAGAGAAGTTGAGTGAAACACAGGAAGAGAGGAAACAACAACAAGCCATGTCTGACGGCAATAACCTTCTCAGTATTCCGAAGTTCGATGGAGATTATGATCACTGGTCCATGCTAATGGAAAATTTGTTGAGATCAAAGGAATACTGGAGCTTGGTGGAGCAAGGCTATGAAGAGCCTAAACCGCTGGAGTCACTCACAGGAGCGGAACGAAGAACCTTGGAGGAGAAAAAGCTAAAGGACTTGAAGGCAAAGAATTATCTGTTTCAATCTATTGACAAGAATATTTTGAAAACAATCACCAACAAATCCACTTCCAAAGCACTATGGGATTCAATGAAGCAAAAATATCAGGGGAATGCTCGAGTTCAACGAGCTCAACTCCAAAGGCTGCTTCGGGATTTCGAAATTCTAGAAATGCAAAATGGTGAGTGTGTGAATGATTATATTTTTAGAGTCATGTTAACTGCAAATGACATGAGAGGAGCAGGAGAGACCATGGAGAATAGACATATTGTTGAGAAGATTCTTCGCACACTGTCCGACAAATACAATTATATTGTATGCTCAATCGAAGAATCCAAGGATATCAATAAAATGACAGTAGATGAACTACACAGGTCATTGCTTGTACACGAATACAAGATAAAGCGGAAGGATGTGACTGAACAAGCACTGAAGGTTACCGGAGACAGTTCTAATTTACGAGTTGACGAACGATTCAGTGACAGAGGCAGAGGGCGTGGAGGATACAGAGGTAGAGGCAGAGGCAGAGCATTCAATAAATCCACAGTTGAGTGTTATCGATGTCACAAGCTGGGCCATTTCCAATACGAATGTCCCACCTATGCCAATTATGCAGAAAACGCAGAATTGGATGAAGGAGAAGAGATGCTTCTTATGTCATATGTGGAAATGCAAGGAGCCATACAAGATGAAATATGGTTTTTGGACTCCGGGTGCAGTAATCACATGAGTGGAGATATAAAATGGTTTATTGAAATAGATACATTCAGACACAGTGTTAAGCTGGGAAATGACTCCAAATTGGCTGTCATGGGAAAGGGAAAAATTCGAATGAAAATAGATGGACGAGTTATGGTCATCACAGAGGTATTTTACATTCCTGATCTTAAATCAAATCTCCTTAGCGTTGGTCAGCTTCAAGAACGAAATCTATCCATATTAATTAAGAATGGTTGTTGTAGCATTTATCATGATGTTAGAGGTCTGATCATACGAACTGCGATATCTGCAAATCGTATGTTTGTGCTTCAAGCGTCTATTCCTGTTGTCTCTAATGATATATCAAGAGAAGCGTGTTTCAATATAACCTCTGAAAATGTCACAAACTTATGGCATCAAAGGTTCGGACATCTTAACATGAAAGGACTGCGGACTCTTGCCTATAGGAAGATGGTTCGAGGCCTGCCAATATTAAAGAATCAATCCAAGGTGTGCACCATATGTATGAAAGGAAAGTAGCAACGTGATTCTTTTTCGAAAAGAAGCACTTGGAGAGCATCCAGACCTCTACAACTAATTCATTCAGACATATGTGACACAATTACTCCTGAATCTCACAGTCATAAAAAGTATATAATTACTTTTATAGATGATTATAGTCGAAAAATTTGGTCCTACTTTCTACATGCCAAGTCTGAAGCTTTTGATACATTCAAAAGGTTCAAGTCATCAGTTGAGAAGACAACAGGATACAATATAATTTGTTTACGCACCGATAGAGGTGGGGAGTTCACTTCATCAGAGTTCAATGACTATTGTAGCATAAATGGAATCGCAAGACAGCTCACTGCTGCCTACTCACCACAGCAGAACGGAGTTGCGGAAAGAAGAAACCGAACCTTGATGAATATCGTGCGATGTATGCTTGCATCACGAGATGTTCCAAAGGAGTACTGGTCGGAAGCAGCAAATCTGGCCACTCATGTTTTGAATAGATGTCCAACCTCAGCCTTGCCAAACATGACACCCGAAGAAACGTGGAAAGGAGAGAAACCATCAGTGGTACACCTCAAGGTGTTTGGATGCATAGGACATGTTCATATTCCTGATGTCACGAGGAAGAAGCTGGATGAGAAGAGCATCAAGTGCGTGTACATGGGAGTTAGTGAGGAGTCCAAAGCTTCTCGAATGTATGATCCAGAAACAAAGAAGATCATCATTAACCGAGATGTAGTTTTTGATGAAATGGAAAAGTGGGATTGGAAGAAGTCAGGAGAAACTAACTCTCTTGATCCTATGTGTGAAGAAAATGAAGAGAATATGGAGAATACAAATTCAGAAGATGAAAGAATCAATCTTCCTGAAAAGAGAAAAAGAAGGAAGCCGGTATGGATGAGAGACTATGAGACTGGAGTTGGATTGTTCGAGGAGGAAAACGAAGAACTGGAGCAGCTTACCCAGGAGATCCAACAGCTTGCTATGTTTGTTTCAAATGATCCCACCACTTTTGAGGAAGCAGCCAAAAGTCAGGTATGGAGGGATGCAATGGAGCATGAGATTGCAGCAATTGAGAAGAATGGAACATGGGAATTAACAAATCTGCCAACAGGAGCAAAAAAGATTGGTGTTAAGTGGGTATTTAAGACCAAAATGAATGAAGAAGGAGAAGTAGACAAATGCAAAGCGCGTCTTGTCGCGAAAGGGTATGTTCAACAAGCTGGAATCGATTACACTGAGGTATTTGCACCCGTGGCAAGATGGGATACAATTCGACTAACATTGTCCATTGCCGCTAGTCGAGGATGGAAAGTTTATCAACTCGATGTCAAAAGTGCATTCCTACATGGAGAAATAACAGAGGAAGTATATGTGGAGCAACCGAAGGGATGTGAGGTGACAGGCGAAGAAGACAAAGTGTATAAACTAAATAAAGCTCTCTATGGGCTTAAACAGGCCCCTCGAGCATGGTTTAGCAAGATAGAATCATACTTTGTCAAGGAAGGCTTTGAACAAAGCATGAGCGATCACACTTTGTTTACCAAGAAGGAAGGAGGAGGAGACGTTCTTATTGTGAACTTGTATGTCGATGACCTCATATTTACAGGAAATAGTGAGAAAATGTTCAAAGAATTCAAGAGCTCAATGAAGAAGGAATTTGAGATGACTGATATGGGATGCATGGGATATTTTCTTGGTGTGGAAGTCACACAAACTTCAAATGGAATTTTTATTTGTCAAAGGAAATATGCTAATGAAGTACTGGAAAGGTTTGGTTTACAAAATTGTTCATCTGTCACTAACCCAATTGTTCCAGGGTGCAAACTTACAAAGGATGTTGGAGGGTTGAAGGTTGATGCTGCCACATATAAGCAAATGGTGGGAAGTCGTATGTACTTAACTGCCACTAGGCCGGATCTGATGTATGTTGTGAGTTTGGTGGCTCGTTTCATGGAAGCTCCAACAACTATGCATCAACAAGCTGTGAAAAGGGTTCTGCGCTACTTAAAAGGGACCACTAAATTGGGGCTGTTTTACAGAAGAGAAGGAGAAGAGAATTTAGTAGCTTTCTGTGATAGTGATTATGCCGGTGATCTTAAAGACCGAAAGAGCACCTCAGGGTATGTTTTTAAGATGTCGAATGAATTAGTTGCTTGGAGTTCTAAGAAGCAGTCCGTGGTGTCGTTGTCCACCACTGAGGCCAAATTTATTTCTGCAGCAGCCTATGCTGCACAAAGCATTTGGATGATGCGGGTAATTGAGAGGTTGGGGATTAAGCAAAGTAAGTGCATTATCTTCTGTGATAACAGTTCAACGATTAAAACTTTCAAAAAATCCTGTTATGCATGGTAAGAGTAAGCATATTCACGTTCGATATCACTTTCTTCGTGAATTGGCAAATCAAGGAGAAGTTGAACTAGTGCACTGTGGCACTAAGGATCAGTTAGCTGACATCATGACCAAAGCCTTGAACCGGGAAGTATTTGTGAAATTGAGAGAAAGGCTTGGAATTTGCAGCATTGAAGAGATAAACTGAATTTATTTCTTGAATAACAGTTCAGTTTATGGGAGAGTTTGTTGGAATAGTGCCGTTATTTAGTTTTGATTTAGTCAAGTTAAAATTATAGGTTAGTTTATGAATAAATCTATTATTTAGGAATAGGATTCCTTGTTGATTTATTCCACCTTAAAAATAGCCCTGATATAGTTATGTAAAAATCATGGTTCTTATTTTTCAGTTTCAGTTTCTGTATTGGCTATAAAGCTATTCATTTACATTCAATAAAATCAAGCTTAAGAGCTACAATCTTGTTTTAACAATTAGGGAGCGTTAAGTTGAAAATTTTATATCTTACTGTTAAGTTGAACAATATTTTGTTTATTTTTGACAGGCTATAACAATCTTAGGCCAGAAGTTTAAGAAGGAATATGCCAAGTCTTTAGCTCATATGACAGTTTCTGGTTGCCTCTATGTTTGTAGAAATGGTTGCCTCCATGCGATTCTTGTAGAAATGGTTACCTTTATGCTTTTTGGTTTTGTGGGTTCAGTTTATACCTTTTGATTTTATGGGGTTTGATGAAGAATCATGTTTTTTGAATCTTGCCTTTTGATTTTATGGTTCATTTGTTTTATAACTGCCATAATAGATTCTTGCCTTTTTGAGCAATATCTATTGTTACGTTTGCAGATACATTATGAAATTATCGGTTCAGAGAAATGAAAATGCACATATGGGAAGATGGGAAAGTTGACGCATTTGTTTTTGGGGTAGATACGGGTGGAACCATAACAGGTATTGGGAAATATCTCAAGGAGTAAAGTTCCTATATAAATGTTTGTTTTCCTCATAAATATATGTTTGAATACATTTAAGGAAAAATTGCACTACTTAGTTTTAACTTTTTTATTTTTTGCATTCTCTTTCCAGTTTCTCTGATATTGACTCATGGTTTGATAATATAGTGCGGGCGTGCATTGGATTATTGCTTATGGTTTTACCATTTCAGGAGCATCATGAAATCAAACTGGTAATTCCATGGAACAAATGGCGGGAGTCTTCTCTTAAAGATGATTCCAACCCACAGATAGAGTTGCTTCCCCTGCATCCAGAGTTGCATGCAAAATTCAACTCCACTGCAGCATAGGAGTATGCGTGGAGCATGTCTGGCAAGCCATATGACTATCACAATATTATTCTGTTGAATTGACACAATATCTGACAACTATCCTCCTCATCTTGATGCTCACTTGGTATTTAATCTTTTTCTTATTATTTCAAAGAGTAACATAAATAATGTACTCATAAATGAGAGTAACACATATATGAAATTGAGCTAGAGTTTCTATATAGAATATATGTTTAGCTGAAGACCACTATATTGTCTTAGGGAATGAGTGATAAAACCTATTGTTATTTGTAGCGGCATAAATGTTGAGATTAAGCCATTAAATTGACTTAACTCGTAAAATTAGTGAAAGTCACCATCACACTTTTATTTTATCCAAAAGATTAGGAAAAGAGCTAATAAAAACCTAAAGTAAAATAGAGAATCTAGGTAAGGGGTTGATTATGTAAAGGGAATATATTAGCACTATAAGCATCTACGGTACTCCACAAGAATCTCTTTGAAAATATGTATACTCTACAGGAATCTCTTTGAAAATATGTATATTTTGTCTATAAAAAAATATTTACAAAATAGATGGTGGAGATGAGAAAATAAGTATTTTTTATAACTTTTGCATCCGCCGCGGTTGTGAATCTTTTGTGCCTACATACATCCTTCGTGCAATAGAGGATCATGGTACTTGTAATTCACCTCAAAATTTTTGAAAATTTTTTGTGTTGGTTAATTTTAAGAGAAGAGACATCTCGTCATATCCGATCCGAGTGGAGAACATACTTACTACACACAATTATGAGAAAAAATCATTTGCATCATCTCAAAGTGGATGACATAACTTGGATTTAGAATAAACAAGACATCACTCAACACTCAAGTGGAAAATGACTCTCTTCACTACATATTGTAAAAGTATAGTAGTTTGCATTATTACAAGAATTGACAAGAGTCTAATCTTTTGAGAAAAAAGTTTTAAAATAAAAAAGCAAAATGGTTTGAATTTTTTTTCAAATAACCACATTTTTCAAAAAAAATCCCAAATAATCATATTTTCAAAAAATTTATCAAACTAACCACTTTTCAAACAAAAAAAGTCGCCACACAAAAGAGTAGCCACTCTGCGCAACGCATGCATGCTTTTTAGAGAGGAGGCGCCACACTGCATGGCTTGTCCTCCTCTGTAAAGTCATGCAGTATGGCGCATGTATGTATTGGTAGAGAGGAGGCGTCATCTTCTTTGTTATATGGTTTTTTATAAATGCAACCACTCATCCTCTTCATTTTCTCACACCATTTATCACATAACTCTTAGAAAATGTCTTCAACTCCCTTGTCAAGGTTTTCACTGATCAAAAGAGATGTGCATGTTATTTTTTTGGCGACAAAGCCTTCGGTGAAGATCAAACTCTGGAACACGCAGACGTTCGAGTATTTTCAGAGGCACTTGATTCGCTGGTTGGAAGGAGACATTCTTGAAGGTGAACAAATCAGAAAAATAGAAAGACACATTACAGTGAGGAACAAAAATGAAGTAAGCCGATCATGGAAAAAGGTGAGATGCGACGTTGATGTCATGATGATGATGCTTGGACCAGACCATATTGTGTTGATAGTTTTTATCTCTTAGATATTATGATTTGTTTAGTTGTTTTGTCTGTTTATCATGTTGTTGTGTTGTTGTCCTGAGTTTGTGGTGTTGTAATTTTGTATCATTATATGAAGATTGTTGTAATCGAATGATAAATTGAACATGAAATGATAGCTCGAATTTAAATTAAAATATATTGCGTACAACAAATTAATCACTTCGGAAAGTTTGCTATAAAAAAGTTAGGTTGCAGAGCTAGACCCAATATTCAGACAATTTTTTCGACTGTGTCCGGGAAGACGGCATGTACTGCATAATCTTATCATTTTGTTGGTCGTATCCATTTCAGTTCTAATACGAGTCTTTTCGAACGTTCTTTTTTCTTCTGTCTCATTTGTTCATTGTGCCAAACAATGTCCCCTTGATAAGCAGGCCAATAATCCTCCTTTGCCAACACAGAGAAGGTATTGATGTACACACTTAAAACACTCTTTACTGTGTACACGGGGGATATATGTTGTACTGGGTTCAAGCGAACATGCGAACATGCCACTATTACATGAGAGCAAGGCATGCGAAATGCTTGAAACTTTCTGCAATCACACCAACCTCTATCTAGTTCGACCCGATAATATCCCCTTGGCCTTCCCTCATTATGATCCATTGTCTCTTGTACACCGAACCAACCTTTAATACGATCAAACACGGTGACACTATGGGTGTTTGCTTTCGCAGCCTCCTCGTTAAATGTTTTCATTGTGCATTCACTGAACAACTGCCCTGATTGTAAAATTGCCCTCTATTTTGAACTTCTTGTGTCAAACAATGACCTCATCCTGAAATATGTTGCTCTAACCAAAGCAGTAATTGGTAGGTTTCAGATGCCTTTGAATACATAGTTCAATGATTCCACCCAATTTGTTGTCATATGGCCCCATCGTTGACCATTGTCAAATGCCCGAGTCCACTTCTCCACTGGAATGTTATCGATCCACCTTAATGCTTCTGAGTTTGCCAACCGGATTTCTTCGCGATAATGTTAGAATGATGGTTCTATTAAGGAATATCCTGCATTAACAACTTTCTTTCGAAGTGTCTTGTCTTTGATATGGAGCATGAAGTTTTGTGTGATATGTCTAATGCAATAGGCATGTGTTGAAGGGGGGTTCTGCCAACGATTATCAGGGTTATTGAATCTTGCAGTGATATGAGAAATAATTGTACTCACCTTTAATGATGGATCATTGTTAATATAAGAGGCAAGATTTCTTGACATATTAGTTGAGAACTAAGTTTCCGATGATCCTGCGTCGGAACGGTGGTGATGCAAGTGTGGAGTGGATCAATTGTACATATTTCCCAATAATTACTTCTCTTCCTGTAAGATGCAGTTAATCGAAAAGGGAAAATTGGTTTTTGACGACATAAAATAACGTACCTCCCTGAATTATTTCGATCTATACTGAAGTCAGCTAAAATTTCTATGTGGTATTTTTTTATAACTCTAATACACTATTCTTTAATACGAAATCCATCTCCAACTTTCAAGGCCCCTTCGGTCTACATATAAGGATTGTGAAAGATATCTGAGGCTGGTTCATCTTCCCCCAAGTTCAAGTTCGTCATGTGAAATGGAGGGTCGTACACGTGACTCGTAGGTACAAGTTCATGCTCTTGATCTGCATCATCATCATTGACCATAAAATCAATCATTGCCTCATCACCTTCTTCTTCTTCTTGGTCAATAACATCGACTAACATAGAGGAACTCTCAACAACATTAAACCTTTGTAAGTGTATTTTCCTTAATACCTATTTTTTGTCGACAAATTTTATTTCCGTAATTCTTATGATTGTTATACGTAAATCTTGTATTTCTTATACGTAATTCTTGTTTTTAATAGGATGTTAAAAGATTTCGTTGTCGTGTCCATGAGTATGTGTCTTACGACGTTCAAATTGAACCGTACTTACGACATGCCGGTGTTGGTCCGTTACTTAACATAGTCAATTACCATGTTGACTATAAAATTATTCTCGCATTAGTGGAGAGATGGAGACCCGAAACTCACACCTTTCATCTTCCATGTGGTGAATGTACAGTCACACTAGAGGACGTGTACATGTTATTCGGTTTACCGATCGATGGTAAGGCTGTCAATGGCTGAGTCAACCAAGACAACGCCATATGCGAGGAACTTTTGGGAGCCTCTTTATTTGAACAAGGGTCTAGAGGGAAAGGTATTAATCTCCGTCTTCTTAAAGAATATCATAGTAGTCTCGTAATAACAGAAAACTCTACCGAGCAAGAAAAAATTGTGAAAGCTCGGTGTTACATAATGATATTATTTGACCATTTTTTATTTCCTGAAACAACGGGTAATACTGTTAATATCATGTATTTATCCTTGTTAAGACAATTTGATAAAATAAACACATATGGTCGGGGCTCTGCTGTTTTGGCCCATCTGTATAGTTTATTGTGTAAAAATGCATCGAACGATAGTTGTACTTTCTATTCCTGCGTCTTTTTGCTTCAGACATGGTGCTGGTCGAGAATGCCGATACTCGCCCCCCGCAATACAAGGCCATTCGTCTTCCCCTTTGCTACAAAGTAAGATTACGAAACCATAAATTTTACATATTATATACTGTAACCAATATGTATTAATTTATTACCCATTTTTTTTATGTAGGTGGTCTGTTCCTGGGATGAATTACAATAAATCCCCTAGAAACGCAATAGTAGTCTACCAAAATCTTATTAATCATGTTAGACTCGAAGAGGTATTAAACTTACATATTTTTTACAACGCTTTCAATAGGTTAATTAAGTTTAATATTTTATATAACTTTTTTTCCTCTACAGTTTGTATGGAGGCTGTATAAGGATCTCAACCATGAGATTAACCCAACTGATGCTGAAGTATGGACTACAAAAATATCACTCATCAGGTTCACTACTGTGGAGATGCACCACAGTGATTGTGTGAAGCTACAGTTCGACATGCAACAGGGTATCCCCGACCCCCCTACATGTTTGGGACAATGCCGTCTACTCAGTTGACGACCAATGGGGATTTAACAATTTGAGAGACTTCGCTAAAAATCAATGTCATCAATAGAGGCATAAACGTGAATTGGTCCTAAGGGAGCCGATCTTGCAAGATGACTTAAAACTGACGCTCCAATATTTGAGATGGTACACATCGATTTCAATAAATTTGTTTGTCTCAAGAGACATATTTGATCGACCACGCCAAAGAGCTGCAACATACGCCCAACAACAACCCCAACAACCAACCCCTCAACAATATCAAACCCAACAACCAACTCATCAATAGTATCAAACTCAACCACAATGTCAACCCACTCAAACCTAATAACCATACACCACCACATTCAACCAAATATGTCATCAATTCATGCCACA